GGAATAGTGATTTCATCAATTACGACGATGAGCAAAAAAATAATTATGGTAAGTTAACATATTTAATTTATTTTTTATATTAAAAAATATCAGTTTTGGGTAGTATAAAGGAAATGGTAGTAAATTGTAAACAAATTGGAATACTTTAAAAACACCGTTTCCCTAAGTAATTTATGTAAAATATATACTCAAAATAGTTAATTTATTACTATATTGTAAATCAAAAATTATATTAATAATTTTATAAGGTAGATATATCATAATATTGTAACAATGTAACACATAAGCTAACATTTTTATAACATTGGCTTTAATGTTTATTATATTATATAATATTTTGCATAATAATTATACACATTGTATATTATAAATATTATTAATTATATTTAGGTATAATTTCTATCTTTTTGACATTTGTCATTTCAAAGACCCTGCGTTTGATGTAAAATAATCACTTAAAACATTGCGGAAATTATTAGCTGTTAATCCTCCTCGTGTTTCTTGCTCTCTTTGTAACTTATCAAGACCTATTATTACTTCTGTGTTCTCAAATTGATATCCGTCCCTGTCTCGAACAAAATTATGAAGAATGACACAAGCTTTGACGATTATAACTGCAAAGTCGGGTTCCTTAACCTAACGAAGACGTTTGTCTTTATGGAGCCATGTTGGTTTAAATCTAAATGATCAAATCCTGGTTGGGAAATAAGATATGAGTTAGCTGATCTAATGGGGGGCCGATTAGATATATTTTTTTAATCGTAGTTAATGCTCGAATTTTTTCACTTCCAAATAATTTACGTTTCTTTGAATGTGAAATTTTATAATTTCCTGAATAATTGCATTCCATTATGACTCTGTTAACAATTTAAAAATTAATAAGGCTACKTCGCCAAACATTTTAAATTATATTATTTTCTTCTTACCTAGATTCCGTATTAGGAATATCTTTAATAACTCCATCAAAAATTGATCCACAGTCAGAACAACGTCCTCGGATTGTTAAAAAAAATTTACCATTTAAGCTGGTGTTTGCTTTTTTAAATACCTACAAGACAACAAGGTAGTTTAGTGTGTAAAAAAAAGTGTTCT